GGATATAGCTCGCTAGCAGCCTCGCACCGAGGAACTATCCACGTCATCATTTACCCAGAATGCTTTGCGTGTAAATAAAATGGCTCTGTCTGTGTTTAAATATATTTTTAAAAATTTACAAAACTAAACAGCCTACAATATTTTTACAGTTTTTATTTTACAGTTAAAACAAATGTTTATCAAATAAAGTCTAATGYTACAACTAATCATGGATCCCTTAAAAAAACTAAGTCTTCTATCAACAAGGACTAAAAGGACACTATAATGAAAGAGATGTGAAAAAATGTTCATAAATTCAGTTTTCCCTTTAAAGAAAGTGTTAAATCCAACACAGAACTGAATCCTCTTCTAAGTCCAGCTCACAACTTACCCAGAAACATCTTGGACATTAAAGTCCTTCATGTGAGGTACAGACTTCTTGTTGATCTGAATCTGTTTAAACTGTTGAAGTGAGATGTGCAAACAAAGATCCCTCCCAGCCAAACAGATGTTTGGGTGGTCCTCAGAGCCTTACTGGATTTGTTCCACTGTTGTCAGATTGACCCTAATATCCCCAGCGGCAGGAGTGACTTTTACTTGCCCCCACCACCACCACCAAAAAAACATTTTGATGAAGTGAACGTAGCCAACAGTCCACCTTTAAGTTTAATGTAATCTTCTCTCATTCTGTTTCTTGGAACCACTCACTGGATAACCACTTTAGATCCAGCTGTTTGCACCGGTGAGTTTCCTCATGTCCTTTAAGTCGCCCCCTCCCATCTATAGCTGTACTAAGCTGTGCTGAATGGTGTTGGCCTACCCTCTGCGGCAGATGAGAAATCAGCCTGCATGGTAGAGTCTCACGTCTCATCTGCGTTTCTCACTCACTTCATGCTCCTCTCCTGCCCTCCTCTTTCTGCCTGCCACTAACTGGTGGTCTACGCCTCTGTGCACCGTCACTGTGGAGTCCATTTTCAGTTGTAATTTTGATGACAATCATACGCACAAGTGTGGTTCTTTTGATTTCTTAAAGGCACACTTTGACCCAAAAAAAAGAGTTTTCTAACAGCCATGGTAAAGTGTAGAAGGAAACTAATAGTCTAATATAAACTTTCAAATTTGTGTGTTTGTACTCGGAAGTGTGCCTTTAAATCTTGCTTTTACTGTGGCTCACTGTAGGTGAAATGTTGTTCAGGTGTGTTTGACTTCTGCCCACTTTGTTCCATCTCCTCACAGGCAGAGTGGGTTGCCTTAAACTACGTGCCCTTCGCCGAGCGCTCCTTGGAGGTGGTCGTGGACTTGTACCAAAAAACGGCGTGCCACAAAGCCGTCATCAGCGAGAAAGTCCTGCAGAATATTATCAAGGTATTTCTTGGTTGTTACACCTGCTCACGGCGATACTAGTAGGATTTTGGACTTGTTGATACAGTGGGGAGATCAAGTATTTGATACACTGTTGATTTTTCAGGTTTTCCCACTTGCAAAGCTTGTAGATGACTGTAATTTTTATCATAGGTACTCTTCAACTGTGAGTGATGGAATCTAAAACAAAAAT